TATTTTTTTTTAGATTAAATTAGGCCCAGGACTAAACAAAATCATGCATCCATCCAATGTTTATATTAGTATAATTAGGTTTATATTTATTTTATACGCCTTTTACACAGGAAGTATATAAATACTATTGAAATTCCCAAAATACAATCATTCGCTCCATGCAGAGCTGGAGTGTAACTAGATACATTTGACTGTACTCAAGTTAAGTATAAGTTTGATATACTTGTATTTACTGCACAGTTTTGCTGTACTTTACTTTACTTTAACTCCTCTAAATAAAATAAGCTTCACTCTGAGCAGCAACAACATTAAAAATGCTGCTTGTACATTAATGCATCAGTAATAATAATCCAATAACACAATGTGTAGTAACCTAATGGAGCATGCTTTTCACCCTCGATACTTAAAGTACATTATGCTGAGAAAAACATCACTACATTGGAAATATAAATGTGCAGCCCATTAGTCATTCTTCTTAGGAAGTGAGCTTCATATTGTTATACCTTGAATGAGCAGATGCTGCCCTCTCCTGTACAGTCGCGGAGCTTGTGGTGGATTTCATGATGAATGCATGAATAAATCACTCAATAATTTTGAATGAGACCTTTGTACAGCTTGCTATGATATATAACAGCAGCCCACTGGGTGCGGATTTATCCAGCAGCGCCATTACTCTCAGCACTCTGATCCCCGGTCATCTACAGCTGAATGGGACTCTCTTTCTAGGCGGGGCTTGAAGTTTGGGGACTTTGTTCAAAAAAACTAGATGAAGTAGTTTCTCCCCCCCTCTCAGTGCTAAAGCATCAGCCACCGCCGGCTCTCTAGGATCTGCACAGTACCGACCTGCAACCAGCCAGCGCTATGGGCCTGTTCAAGTTTGTATGTGCGATTATTACCAGAGTGTTATTTATCCTAGTCTCTCTGGCCGGGGTCTGGAGGGTGACGCGGGTGAAGGATAACAATTACTGGTTCCTGACTTTCCTCTTTCTGCCGCTGTTCGTTGAAATGATAATAACCCTGCAGAGACGAAAGGGAAAAGATTACAAATGGTAAGCTGAAGTGTATGCATGTAAGTGTTTGTAAATGCTTGGTAGCTAATTATAATGTGCTTGAGGAACTTTTATGTGCAAAACTAATCTCACTTGTGTTTGCACATATTTTCTTTCCTGAATAGATTTACAGTAAAAATATATAAATAATTTAAGCCGTTGTCATCTCCCCCCAGTCCTTCCCCAGCCACTATCATGCATCCTGCTTGTCCCTTGCTGCTAATGTTTAACCCCTCCTGGGACAGTGAGGATGAGGTGGTACCTTCTTAACTGTTGCATGTGTTATCCTGTTAAATTATTCAGCCTCAGAAGAAGCAGATATCTGTGTGGGAGTATCATGACACTGTAAACTGAAGTGTGATGGAGTGATAATCCAAGATGGCATCTTCAAATGTCAACAGTAAGCAGTCCAAAGCCCAAAGATATTATATTTACCTTAAGACAGAAAAAAAAGGAGCTAATCTTAACATTTGAAATCCTGGAAAACTGTTAAAATGATTCGTCCATTGCTGATTAATTCTCTGTCAGCTGTTTAATTAATGAATCGACTAATTGTTTCATCCCTAAACAGTTGTAATATTAATTAATATCAGTGTCAAGTGTAAGTTTCTCCGAGTTAAGTTTTGTCTTACGTGATTTCCCCCCTTGTGTTTTTGTGAAGTTGTGTTCTCTTGGTTGTCTTGCAGGTTTTCTCCTCCTATCTTTCTGTTTCTCATCAGTATCATTCCCTCCATATGGATCCTGGAGCTCCACCACCAGCAGAACAAAGACAGCGACCCTCTGGTACTTAACGCCAGAAAGCTTAAGTATTTAGCTTTCTGGCATCTTAACTGTTTACAACAACAGTTCTCATATTTTCCAAACATTGTAACCTAATGACAGATGTTGGTGGGTGTGTGGGTTGCAAAACTCCCTTTGCACACATCCATTAGTTTCTTGATTCCATCAAATACTGCATTCAAACTTGAATCTTTTAAGCTTTAAAAAGTACAAATAGTCTGTGAAATTTCAGTCTTTAAAAAGCCTCTTTCAACTGTTTTCAGTGCAAAAAGCTCGACTCTTGGGAGAATTTGCGTACTGTGATTACTCTAAACCAGACCAATGGAAACCAAACATACCAGGACTACCTCAAGGTAAGAGTGACAGAAAATAATTTAGTTTCACTTGCCTCTTATGATAGAACATATCTTCTTTTATGATATTCCTGCAAAGAACATAAATCAACACCAATGAGAAAGATGATGTGTTTCTTGGAAAGCAATCGCACTGCATTATGGGTTAAACACCGGGGCTCTGGGGATATGGAACTAACCACAACCTCAAAAATAAAGCAAAAGAGAAGTACAGATTTCTAAAGAATCTCTCAGGAAAATTGCTTCTGTTAGCCACTTTTTCTCTCATTTTCACATTTTCATTTGTTGTATCCATCAGTGTTGGTCTTTTTTATTCTGATTCACAATTTAATCATCGCTGTCTGGCAGCACAGGCTGCCAGACAATCAGACTCCAGGAATTCACTGCATCCAACCAGGAAATAGTCAGGCACATAACCCGCTCATAAAAAACACACACAACTTGGCATTTTAGTCATCAGTTTTTGCACAAATTAAGCAAACAAGATTTAAAGTCTTTACTATGCAGCCTTAGAGGTGCTTGTCGGCAGATTTTTTACCTTTGTACAGAGCCAGGCTAGCTGTTTCCTTCTTCTTCCAGTCTTAATGCTAAGCTAAGCTATGTGCCTGCTGCAGCATAGCTCCAAGAAACTATCCTCTAAGTCATCTGTAAGTCATCTGATTTGAATTTTCGCCCATTGTGGGACTATTAAAGGAATGTCTTATCTTATCTTATCTTATCTTATCTTAAATGTTGCTTATGGTTCAATGTTCATTCATAACTAATAAATCACTTGATGAGGAGCTGTGCGCTTGAAAACGTCACTCATAATAGCACATTTCTGTTTTAGGATCTCTCATATTTCAAACAAAAACTGTAAATCACTATTCATCCTTTGATTCTAGTTTTCTACGAGCTATTTAGGGGGAAGTGAATGCAGAAGAGAAAAACACAAACTTCAGGGGATTGGAAAGCGGGATGCAGCCCCAGGGGCTTAAGAACTCAAAGAATCCTCAAAGGATTTCATCAAAAATACAGGCTTGAATTCTGGGAAGAGCCGTTCTCTCGCTCCACATTTTGAGACAAAGTCGGCAGAATTTAGAGTAAAGAGTAAATTAATTGTGCTCACAACAGGATTGGCAAGGCATCTGAATGATTTTAAAGGACCAGTGTGTAGAATTTAGTGGCATTTAGTGTGTAGTTGTAGATCACAACATTTGTGCATCCAAGCATGTAAGAGAAAATAACAGTGGTAGCAAAATTTGCGGAAAAAAGTGAAAAACTGTAGCAAGAGCCAGTGTTTGGTTTGTCCATTCTGGGCTACTGTAGAAACATAGCGGATCAACATGTCCGTGGAAGTGGACCCGCTAACTCACTATATTTTATAACAGACATGCTTGACAGTGGTGAATACTTTAAACAATAATGTAAGGTAGTGAGACTTTTTTACCAGGCTTAACAAATAGCAAAACTCAATATCACTAGATTCAGTAGAATGGAAATGATGAGAGAGGGATAATGTGCCCTAAAAGCAGCATATAGAGAGAGAATAAAAGAGGTCCTCCTCTGGTCAGAGAGGCCCAGTGAAATAACACAAAGAACATACATCAACAGCAGCATTTTTATCAAGAAGTACTCAAATGTAACTGTCATGAGAAAAGCAATCTTTTTTGCTTTGCTTCAGATGAAGAGAGAGACAGAGTATACAGTATAAAGTATGCAGACATCAGCACAAACATCTACATGAAGACTAAAATAAACACACTTTTGGTTATCTTATCTGTACTAGCCATAGAATTTGAACAAAACGTTTAGCTTAAATAGATAAATGACAATTTCTGCCACTAATAACTAACATAAGAGCCTGTGGCCATTTACAGTAAGAGGAGAGCATTTGAAGTAATTTATATAAACAACGGCTCAACCACAACCACACCCACTTAGCCCAGGAGAGTTAGAAAGATCAAGTTCGGTGGCCACACCTCCAAAAGCTGGCTACATATAGCAGCCCTACTGTGTTTAAGTTACAAAAACAATGTTCAAGTTGTGCAACATAATGGAGCCATTAAAGAATATGTCTGGAGATATTCTAGATTGTTCTTATTGCCATCATATCCCATTAAAAAAACTGATGTAGCTTATTTCTCTGTGCCGTAGAGCTCCATTGTTGTCCAAAAGCTACTGAAGACACAACAATGAGCCACACTGTTTTCCAATACCACAGGACTCATTTTGGTTCTGGTTTTGGTCTTTTCATTGGATTTGTTGACTCAACATTTAGCAGACCAAATATTACAGGGTCCATAAAGGGAGTAAGAGATGTGATTGAGGTAGCAAACATCCCCAGGCTGGAGTGAGCATTGCATGAGCTGAGAGCCAGCTGCATATTATAGAATAACATGATGGTTCCTGACTGAAAGATCCAGCCATCCCAGAAAACCCCTTATTGTCGACACAGAAACAGCTTTTGATTTCTCTTCCTTCTCCAGAATATTAACCAGATGTTGTCAGCCGTCTGTTCCAACGACTGGATCCTGGCTCTTCATCAGATCCTGCTCATCCTCCTCATTGTGGGGAAGTGGCTTCTCCCCCTGGGAGGCGGAGTCACGCGTGACGAGCTCTCACAGCTTCTCCTCATTTTTGTTGGCACTGCGGCAGACATCCTCGAATTTACTAGTGAGACGCTGTCAGATGTCAAGTGGGTGCCGAATCATGTTACTTGTTGGTTATGAATATACTTGATTATTTTATGTATGTCTGCTGAGCTCTGTGCGCTTACATTTATGACACAAAGGTGTAGAACTCAAGCACTTTTAAGGTGAAGGGACGGTATCTGTGTCCTTCAATCCTTTTCCTGATGTGCTGACATTATATTAATGCATTCACTGAAATAAGCGGCATCCCACTGACATTTCCTGTCTATACTTTGCACGTGTCTTTTTCAGAGAGAACAGCCCTGAGCTGGTCTACATCATCTTAGGTGTATGGACTTGGAGCATGTTGCAGTTCCCTCTACATCTGGCCGGTCAGTGTGTGTTTGCGTCTTAAACCAACAACTGCAGTGCTTATTATGCAGTTACAGCCGTGTAATATTGTGCATAACCTTGTCCCACACGATCCAGACATTGTGTTTAGACATTGGCTAAACATTAGCAAAGTCAGCAGCATCCAAGTGCTGTATGTAAACAGTGAAAACGAGCTCAGCTGAACTCCTCTATCTCCAGCGTTGTCAAATTATTAACCCAAAATCTTTTTTTCCCAAGTCAAATAAGCTACAGGGTCTTTTATCAGAGACGACAATGCCCCCACGTTCAGACACATAGTTCTAAAAACAGACTTACCACAAAAAATAAATCACTAACAGGAAGGGTGTACTTAAGTTTGTATAAATGTCGACAGTCTTTAGAAGGAAATCCACACGTCCATTACATAAATAGATTTGGATCCCTGGCCTGATAAGAGGAGGCCATTATAAAGCAAGGCCCAACTATCAGATGTCTTTCTGAAATTCACTGACCACATAAAAGAATGCAAACCCGCTTCCCTAAGTCTGAGGGAGAAAAGGCTGAAAGAAAGAAAGAAAGAATATAATGAAGGGATTAGAAGCAAGATGCAGCTTTGTTCTAGGAGAAGACAACCTCTACTAATGATCTCAATTATTCATAACCCACCCTTTAATAATTTACGGTTGAGATTCTTAATAATGATACTTTTTCATGTGTAGCTTTACTGTCATAATGCATTAAGTGCACTTAGAGTTTGACTGCACAGTGCTCCGTTTGTGATTACAATGGAAGCTGCTTTCCCTTCAGTGTGTACAGTACGTGTTTGTGTTTGCTCATGTGGGTGTGTCTTTTTGTTAGTGTCCAGTATGTTTGAAGGCAGTATAAACACAGAAAGTGTTGACATAGAGGTGCAACATGTTCAACTTTCTGGACCTTGCAAACTAGCACAAACTAGTGATCTTTGACAAATTCAAACTGTCACCACCTTGGATAGTACCGTATTTCTCTGCATGAAGTTCTGAGTGGCAGCAAAAGTCTAAGTTAAGGATACCTCCAAATTCCAGTAATAATATATAATATAAAAAATCAAAACAAATCCCGATCCCCAAACATTTGGTTATAGGTTTGCTTTACAAAAGAATCCAGCGAAAAACAGGAGAAGTTGGGCAAAAGAGCAAATGTGCTTCCTTCCCCCGATGACAGTTTTCTTCTGCCACCAACCTCCTGTTTTTTCCCCCTTTATTTTCAAAAGTGGTGAACTCCAAGCCAGGCGCTGAGGGTGAGGAGAGGGCCCAGAAGGTGTCCCTTATGACTAAACACAGCACGGACATGTGGAGCATCGTGGAGGCCTTGTTTATCCAGGACGGGCCCTTTCTGGTGGTCAGGCTCACCGTCATGACCTACTTCAAAGTCTTCCACCAGATGCTGGTTTTCTTCGCCATCAAGAACTTCCTGGTGGTCATACTGAACTTGTACAGGTTGGTTGTTATATGTCAGGACTTCAGATCCCCCAGCAGTAGAATCGACAGCGGCAACGACATCAGCAACCCTGTCCTATGAGTTTGATGAGACAGCTCAGGGGGAGATAGAGAGACATTACACTTTTTTTAAAAAAATTTTTACAGTTACAGGTAAAAACTACAATTGGAGCAGGGAAAGAAGGAAATGCTTGATGACTGTTTTCTTTTCACAATGTACTTATGTAGAATCCATTCTGAATAATTGATGCTCTTGGGAGCAGAAAACTGTGAGCAACCATTTTATTACACTTGCATGAAGTTGCCAAGTTTGCATTCCACACTTCCACACTGCCTAGCATCTAATTTTGCTCATACTTGACATTTCAGTCCCTTTGGAGCTAACCTCAGTCAATTCAGTTAAGACACCACCCTTTATTCAGTACTAAAATGTGACTGTGTGCATGAACAATGTGTGTTAAAACCTGTGGATACAGAGGAAAAGAAGGAAGCAGACCGGAACAGGAAAAAGGTGTGGGGGTTCAAGTGAAAAATATCCCGATTTAACCGTGTACAAATAACACACATTACTAAGCCTGTCAGCCTGTCACAATATATCTAAAGAAAATAGGCCCACCAGGCTCCACTTGTTAACACA